CGGGCGACGGACTTGTTTATGGCAGCGAGTTCCTGGTTAGTATGTAGCAGAGCGTTAGTCATGAGGGCACAGTCGTCCTTTACTCACCCTCATGACCTGTCTATTCCTTCAACTCACGTTCAATCTCTTCCGCCTCAGCTCTCTGACTCCTCTTCTCATCCAACTCTGCCCTTTTCTTTATCAGGGGTTGCCGATGCAAGTCATGCTCCCTTTCCTGCATCAGCAATTATCTCTCAACATCGTCCTCTGCCGCCTCCAATTTGCTGTGAGTTCATCCCTCTCGGCCTCTCATCCTTCCTGAACCCAAACTTCTCCATCCGTGTCTGGGTGTCAACTGGGTAGAAATGCAACTGACAAGCCTCTCCCCTCTCAACATCGTCCTCTACCGCTTCCAATTTTGCTGTGAGTTCATCCCTATTGGCCTGTCATCCTTCATGAACCCAAACTTCTCCATCCATGTCTGGGTGTCAACTGGGTAGAAATGCAACTGACAAGACTCTCCCTTTTTGGTACGCATACCTCCTTCAACCCTGTGCCTGGGTCTTCCAGCCTCTCCTCCTCTTCTTCTTCTTCTTCTTCTTCTTCTTCTTCTTCTTCTTCTTCTACTACTACTACCTCAACCTGTTGTTTCTGTTTCTCCAGAGTTTTGAGCTTCTCCTCCAGCTCCCTTCTCTCCTTCCCCAATCTCTCTGCTCTTTTTTTTTCTTTTCTCCTCCTCCTTCTCATCCTTCTCCTTCTTCCTCCTATCGATCTCGGCCTGCTGTTCAGCGGAGTGTGGTTGTGTGATGCCCCAGACCGACTCACCACATGCATGCCAAAGGTCTGGGCGAATCCCAGTGGAAAGAGGAAACGGATGAGGGGGCCCCATATAGTGGACAGGGCGAAGAAGCCAAACATCGGGTAGTCGTCCATGGCGAGGGCCAGCACAGGTAAGTTGACTCGGCCTCCTCACCACTTGGACCTACTCCTCAACACTTGACTGTCCTCAATACTTATACTAATCCTAACCTAAATCAGGGTTTGACAATTGAGTCCCTTTCCACTTCTGTCACTACAGCTCTCCTAACATCCGGTGGGCAACCGACGGCTTAAGGTCAGCCAGCACAGACCTCTGAAATTATTTAATGACGCAAACAGGACATTGTGCCCACCGATATGAAGGATCACTCTCAAGACTTAGACTGCTTCCTCACTGATTGCAGCGGTTTTCAGGTATAACTACCACCAGTGACTAGCCAGCCGATCAATACCGATCCTTGGGGGATCTCCCTGGAGTGCTCAACTGGTGGATCTTACGTCTCACCCCTACTTCGCCCATGCATTATACAACTGGCAAACCCTACTGCCCTCTACAACTCCTTGCGCCCATAGAGTCTTCGGGCGCACGCCGGTCAGTACCGGTCATTAGGTATAACCGGGTTGTTTTACGAGCGCCCGCCTCTCATTGCCCGTGCTCCCTACTAGGTTAGGGGATACATCCAGCTGCCGAGTTGCTACCCTAGACCGATCTACATCACACATGAAACTTTCACTCTCACAGGATTAGGGTCCCATTGGGTACCTATGCCCCTAGGTAGGCCAGCAATCCTAACCACTTCCCCACAAGGGGGAGGAGCCTTTCCTTCAGGAGAGATCGGTCTCCGACTCACCAAGCAACAGGCAGACCAAGTGCGATTGCTGACTTGAATGACAAGATGACATCAACAGAAATCAATTTGCCGCAGAGGTCACCAGGAAAGTACGCGGAAGGTACCATTCACAACAAAATTCAAGTTGCATACACGACAGGGCCAGGGCAAAGAAGCACTTCACTCCTTGAACGTTCCCTTGATGAAGCTCATCGATCGCAGATACATGCTCCCCTTGCTCCATGCTATGCCCCTTCTTCTTCGGCCTCAGCATGCGGTCAACCCTAATCCTTCTCTTTTTTCTCGCCCGTCGGCTTTCTTCCTTGCCAGCATCTCAACTCCGAGTGGATGCAGCGGGAACCGGGTCTGATACCACTGTAATGAGCCAAGTACTCGTCAAGTTCAACTTCGCATACATCAACGATCATTCACATATGAGTTCACACGTGAGAAGCCAAATGGAGATACAATCAACACTTTAAGATGTCGTCTCCAATATTATTATCAATATACAAGAATGTTTGTCTCCAGCGGCTCTGCTGCACACACACACGGAGCGGGTCTCAATCAGATAGCGGCTATGGCTTCTCCCTTCTCTCTCTCTCTATGACTTGACTCGCTCTGCCTCACTCTCTTTTTCTCTCGTCTTTATCTCTACCCTGGATGCACCCACTCAGGCTGCTCACACCTCGGCGGCTATGGCCGCCGTCCTCCTGCTTTACATCTAACCTAGCTATGGAGTATCTCTCAAGCGCCCTCTTCTTCTTCAGGAGCACAGTGCCCAAGTTGCCTTAAGGCACAAGCAGCGGCAGCGCTTCCACATCTCGCAACTGAACAAGTGATGAGCCGCTGCTCTGTAGCAGCTACATATAGGACTTGGCTTGGCTTGGCTTGGCTTGGCTTGGCTTGGCTTGGCTTGGCCTGGCCTGCTTCAGACTGGTACCGGTCGGTCGCGGCCTGTCCGCTGCAAACGTTTTGTCGGTCCGGTAGCTTCCGGACTTTCCTGGGACATGCTGCAAAATTGGACTTGGGACTGTCGGACTGGACTGTACGCTTCTGGACTTTTCTTGTCCGGTACCGGACGGACTCCTACTGACCTACGACGCTTCAGTACCGACACCTACTGACCTACGACGCTTCGGCCTACCCTACGGGATGGCCCAGGGATGTGGGACTCGTTGGGACACTGGGACCGGGACTGGGTGTCTGCAGCGTGAATCCTTTCAGTAAACTCTGTAGTGTACAGGTAATGTGTGGACTGTTTGTATGATGTATGGATTGTGGACTATGCATGGACTGTGCACAGAGTATGAATGGATGATACACTACGGATAAAATATGTATGGACTGCCGACTACGCATAGATAATTTGTAGACTATACTCTGTGCATAGACTATGACTACGTATTGGCTTTTGTAGACTATACATTGTGTATAGACTATAGACTATGCATCAACTATAGACTTTGTATAGACCATACATTGTGTATAGGCTATAGACTGTGTATCAACTGTAGAATTTGTATAGACCATACATTGTGTGTACACTCTAGGCTATGTACCAACTATATACGTACCAACTAAAGACTTTGTATCGACAGTACATTGTGCATAGACTACAGAGCAGGGCTGGTCCCCAGATGGACTGGGGACCCCTCTGGCCGGGAGCCTGCTGGTTGGAGCAGGTCAGATGGAGGAGGGATGCAGGAGAGGGCGGACAATCAGGAGGAGACAAGGACGAAGAATGAGTGAAAAGGTAAAAAAGAGCCATCCGATTTCCAGTGACTGATTTCTCTGTGACTTCGATAAGAGGAGGAGAAGGAGGTGTGGAAGACACGATGGTGGAGGTGGAGAGGTGGAGGGATGGAGGAGGCAAGGGTGGAGAAGGTCAGATGGAGGAGGGATGCAGCAGATGAGCGTGGAGGAGGAGGAGGAGGAGGGAGCCAAGGACGAAGAAGGAACAAAAATCATAACAAAAAAGGAACCCTCCGAAGTTTCCAGCGATTGCCTTCTTTGCGGCTGCGATAGGAGGATGAGGATGAGGATGAGGAGGAAATGGAGGACGAGGAGGAGGAGGAAAAGGAGGGCGAGGAGGGATGGAGGACACGAGGGTGGAGGAGGAGGAAGAGGCAAGGACAAAGAATGAACAAAAAAGAATATTCCGATTTGCAGCAATTGCTTTCGCTGCAACTTCAATAAGAAGAGGAGGAGGAGGAGGAAAGATGGAGGAGGAGGAGAGATGGAGGATGAGGAGGAGGAGGAGGGTGAGGAGGAGGAGGAGGAGGAACAAAAAAGAATATTCCGATTTGCAGCAATTGCTTTCGCTGCAACTTCAATAAGAAGAGGAGGAGGAGGAGGAAAGATGGAGGAGGAGGAGAGATGGAGGATGAGGAGGAGGAGGAGGGTGAGGAGGAGGAGGAGGAGGAGGAGGAGGAGGAGGAGGAGGAGAGATGTAGGATGAGGAGGTGGATGAAAGATGGAGGAGGAGGAGAGATGGAAGATGAGGAGGCGGAGGACGAGGATGAGGAGGAGGAGGAGGAGGATGAGGAGGAGGAGGAGGAGGGGGAGGAAAGGAGGAGGACGGCACACTGAGGAAGGATGATGAAGAAGAGGTGGAGGAGGGTGGGCAGAGTGGTTACGGGCTGGTGAAATAGGGCTCGCTCCACTACTCACGGCATGGAGGTGGACTAAGTGAGCAGCATGGAGGACCTCAAGCAAGAAATAGGGCTCGCTCCACTACTCACCACATGCACGAAGGACATAAATATGGCGGTGTATCTTCCCATGTTCTAGTGGAAGATGGCCAATACCCCTGGGGCCCTGCCCCACCCTGGTACTCCTTAAAAGTTTGTTTTACACATTTGCTGAGTAGTGGAGTGAGGCTGGTACCCCAGGCCCAGCCCCAGCTTGGTACTCTTTTCTTTGGCCTCATTTTTGCCAAAACAATTCCGCCCACACATATTTTCGCTTGGCGGCGGTGGTTACATCCATTCAACGCCTGTGGCTTTTTTTTTGGTGTTGGGGGGGGGGGGGTCGGAGGGTACCTGTCCGTGTGCCGTGCCTAACCAACAGATTTTGTCAGTACGTGTGGCGTGCGCTTGTAAGTACGAAACCAACAGATTTTGTCAGAGCTGGTGTCTTAGACTTTCCTGTGTGCCTGGCTGAGCAGACTGTGTTGTGAAATGCCGCAGGGTGACGAAGGCCTGTCTATTGCGATTTCGATTTGACGTTCGATTTTTCACACTTTTTTTTGTGAAGTGGTTGTGTGGAAGGAGGGTGAAATGGCAGGGTATGTAGATATCATATGACAAAGAGGCGTGTTTGTTGCGATTTCGATGTGGAGTTTGATTTTTCAAAGCTTCTTTTGTGAAGTGGTTGTCTGGCCGAAGGAGGAGGATGAGATGGCAGAGTATGTGGACAACAGAAGACAACCTTTGTTGATCAAAGAAAGAGAGCAGTGTGCAAGTACCAGCTGCCTTGATGAGCTGTCGTCCCCTGCAGGTGCCTTTGAGCTAGGTGAGTTATTCTGACCGTGTCAGTGCGGTAATTCCCGATGACTAAATTGATTGGTAAATACTAAATACTAAATACTAAATACTAAATTTTTACTCGTTGATTTAATTAATTTAGCAAAACTCCTTTTTTTTCAAAAATTTGGACCATTTCTTGATTTATGTATGTCATCCTTGAGCTGGGGCCATGTTAATTGTCCCTGTATCATTCCAATTTTAACAGATGTTCCGGAGGGCAATTTACCCTTTCAAGATTTAGCCAACCTTAAACTGCGAGCTGCGCGCCTCGGCAGAAATATCACAGCTTCTACAAGATGAATATATTTAAACCAGCAGTTCGCATGAGCCTAAGTTGACAAAGCCACCTTCCATGGCTCGGAATCCTGCAGCTCCGCCTTTCCAAAGTGGCCTGCCGCTTTCCCATCCACTCCAGGGTGGGGCGGTGTCGGCTCCATTCTTTTCTTGGCCAGGCAGCGAAGCTGATGAGCGGAAAAAGGGAATTTGATATTCTGAACCCTCAACCTTAGCCTTGGCAAGGCGATATTCAACCATTAAGCTATTTCCGCCATCAATCCACTTCGCGGTGTGCTCGCCGTGAGATGAGTGGCCATAGGATAGAAAATCAAGGCCCACTCCCGAATCGAAGTGCTTTTACCATGAAAAAAACGGTACGACCACTACTTGGCTTCGGGTGAACTGGCAGGTTAACCAGCCGCAGGCAGTCCTGTAAATGTGAAGTGTCACTAGTGCAGTGATTCACAACTCAATCACCCATAACCTTACACACACATGCAACGAGCATCCAGATGAGTATTCAGTGACCATACTTGTGGCGCACTGGTGCGGTGCGCGATGCGGTGCGGTGCGCCCTGCGGAATGCACGCGGTGACACTTCGTGCGCATGTGCGCGCGCGCGCGCATGAGGTGCGCCGTGCGCGCAGCGCATGGGGACGCGCTACCCCTGCAAGGGTGCGCACTGTGCGCCATGCCGTTTTTCAGCGTGTGTGTGTGTGTGAGAGAGAGAGAGAGAGGGAGAGAGAGAGAGAGAGA